ATGGAAATAAGAAAATGAAAAGAAACTGGTTCCCTGTTGAATAAAACTTGTTGAAGCATCCTATGTCTGTACTTTGGATAATGTGGGATGATAAGTTTAAACTCATTATTTAAGTTACTTGTATTGTAGTGTGTTCCTATCAGTAGCCAAAACTCAGCCTGTCAGTTATTTTGCTGTCTTTACTTTCACAAACAAGCTATTAAGCAATTTTTAAACTTTTTTGATTGAAGGCTGCTTAGAGGATAAGAACATAATATTAATACCACAAACCAAAATCAGAATTCTCTTTTCTTATCATTAAAACTGTTTTGACATTAAAACAATGCCTAAGTTTTTGCCAGTGAAATGACAGTGAAACTTTGAGACTATATTTTATAAATATACCCAGATTAAGATAAAATACAGGAAACAATGAAGCAAAACATTCTGAACCTAAGTAAATTAATATTAGAAACAGAGTGATATAAAAACAAGCAAATAAAAAATGGCAACAAAAAACAAATGCCCCCAGTAATTGCAGTCTCTATTGACTAATCATGTTTACTTACAAATTGGCCAATTCACTATGGAAATGGTTTTTGGATTTGGATTTTATTATAGGAAGTCATAATTTTCCAGAGAATTACTTCATGTGAAATTTCCTAATGTCAGCTAATGACTCAAATCACAGCACATCTGCATTTAGATTGTGACCACTTCACTCAAAGGAAAAAAAGGATTTTTACTCTTTTAGATACAGAAGTAATTATCATATCTGGTTTTATAAAGCAGGGGAGTTTCTTCTAGGAATAAAAATGTTCAAAGCTATTCACTGCACAGACATAACATCTTGTTTTCATAGTATTAAAAAAAAGTAAAAGAAAAAAATTCCATAGAGAGGAAATAGCAATACAGGCAGAAAATAGTAGATATCTTCATGTTACAAGCAACTATAGTAAAGCACACACAAACTAAGTTTATTTAAAAAATGAGAACTGAAATGGAGGCAAGGTCACACAATTATGCACTGTTAGAGCTAAGAGAAACCATAGAGATAAGTATCTGAAATATCAAGAGTTTTTAATAATAAGAAAACTGAAGCTCTGAAATTGATTTCTTTTCAAAGTCTCATATTTGCATATTGGAAGTTTCAACTTAGACATAGGAAGTGTGACCATTCAAAGAAAGAATAACTGCAAGCCTCAAAAAGACCCCCTGTTCCAAAATATAGTTTCCTTTTTTCCCCCAAAAGTGAAATTTTGATTACTTACAATCTCTAAAAATTAGCATTTTCATCCAATCACAACTAGGAAATTTTTATTTTCTAATTTGGGTCAAAGTTCTATAAGTAAAATCTAAGCTAAGAAACTTATGAATTAAAACAATTATCTTTCTTATTTTTGTTGTTTATATTTTTGAAAAGTAAAAATAATTTTTCCCTAAATTCTTGTTGTCAGTTAAGAGAGAAGAGTGAGAACCCTAAGTGTGGGGAAGGAAAATGAGAAGCAAGAGAAGTATGGGGATGGTAGAGAGATAATTAGAAAGTATAGAACAGGAAAATGTAAATATATTTCTTAAAATTTGTAATAGAAGTCTGAAGAGAATGTGATATACTATAGACCTTTTACTACTGAAAATACAATGAACAAAGTGAAATAAAATACCATAGAAACACATAATAAAAGAAATAGTGCTATGTCCATTGGCACTAGGACATAGAAAAACAGTTGAGACCTTCCTAACAGGCATTGCAATTCATCTTGATATTACATTTTTTAAATGTCAAAGATCAATAACTAAAATTAAGTTAGTTTTGTCCTTTCCCCTCAAAGTCTGTTTCTTTCTCAGATTTTATTTCTGCTTAAATAAATATGTTGAAGACGTCTTAACTTTCTGCTTCTAATTATCTCAACTTGTAGTATGACAAAAAGAGAGAAAATCTTAGCTCATGTATGGGAATTTCTCACAAAATGTTACTATATTATCTTCATTAGGAAAAAAGGAATAAAATTTATACTCAATATACCTGAGGCTAGATTTTTAGAACATTTGGTTTGATACATGATGAATCAGATAACTTTCTGATTAGAAAAATATTATGTTTTCAAATATTAGCTCAAGTTTTCATCCTTAAGTACAATAGCCATAACAAATTAATAATGATCAATTTTTGCACTTTTATCAGGGATGGTATATCTGGTAGTCAAAATAAGCCTTCTGGTAGTCAAAATAAGCCTTAAGGTGAAAAACTCTGGGATTTCTGATTGTGTGCTAATGGAAAGTATCTGGAAGGAGCCTGAGCTTGGTTCAAGATTGGGACTACAGCTGCTAGTACTTCACCCAACCCTCCAGAGGACATGGTGAGTTCAACTTCTCTGAATCACCACTCTAAAGAAATAAGATGCCCCTGACAGCTGAGTCATGATCTTCCAGGAACCATTAACAAGTTGATCTTCAATCACTTCCATTCAGATAGGAAAATGTCAGAGCCATGCAGGATGAGAACTATGGATCCAGAGAACGACAGGCAATTGGTGCCACCTTTTCTAAAGCATGTGATTAATACTTCCCTTTTTTCTTTGTTCCTCATACTGAATGCTTATTATGTTACATATTTAAAAAGACCAGTGTAAAATGTCATTCTTTTTCTTTTCCTATCCAAATCCTAACCTACCACATAATAATATAATCAGGATTCAGATAATGTTTTCCTGTTAAATGCCCTACTTAACTCCCTTAATTATAATTCTCTGGGAATGATGACCAGTGATTTGATTTTTTGTAAAGTACATCAAATCTTAATAATTATGTTAATTTATAAATGATTAGAATTTATCACATTATACTTTTCATATTCTGAAAAGGATCTAATATACAAAAATGCACAGTTAATGCTCAGCTTTAAATATATTAAAAATTGAATCTGCTTATTCAAGTATAATGATAGAACTGAAAGAGATCTCAAAATGGTTCAATTTCTTCCTTGCCTTTCTTCTTTTCTTGAAGATTCCTTATCTATAAAATATCTTATCTCTTCTCCTCCACCCTCTCCCCATGCCATCTGCCTTCAAAATATTTATCTTGCTTCCTTTATATCATTGCTTGACACTTTTTTTGAACCTAATTGCATAATATATACTGTTATCATTAGATATTTAAGCAAGTCCCAGATACATTTTTCATGGTGGTGTGTAAACTCCTGAGAGATCTGAAAAAAAGTGTGTGCTTCCTTCTAAAGTGCAAATAGACACATGCACAGACATTTTTTTAACACACATTTTTGGAGACCATTTACGGACAACCACTTGCTCATGTCTTTTATAGGTGAGGCTTCCTGTGCCTTTTAGGGAGGATAGCTGGTCCCTCTTCCATCTGAGCATGGAGATGATAGTATGGAATGCAGACAAGCAGTGGTGGGGAGAGTAATACTGAGATGATAATGACATGGCAAATACTGGCTCCTAAGGAACTTCTGACTTTTTTGAGGACTCTAATTAATTATTACTAAGAAAGGCTTGAAAAGAACTGACCAGAGCTGACCACATATGTATAAAAAAAAACTCTCTTGCTATATGAGTTGAGCTTAATCTAAATCCCCCCAATTAAATATCTTTCTTCATTTGCCACATTTTTCAGCAATTCCTCAGAGCAAATATACCAAAAAATGTTAATTTTAGGAAGCCTAGAATTAGAATAAAATTACTGACACTGAAAGGAAGGCCTGGATCTTTATAAGAAAAATTTCTTATCTCAAAATTTTTGATAACCCACATTATCTCCAAAACGTGAATGCCATCATTTCTTTGGTGTGTACCTATTTCCTTTCTTCACTGAATAAATAGCTTTGCTAAATGAGAATAAAAACAGAACTCAAATGAGATGCATAGGATCTTGAATAATGTTCACATAGTTATAAAACCGAATTCCAATGCTAATATAAATTATTCCTACTATATTTGTCATTTGAGAGTATCTGTTTGTCCCAATAGGTATAAAAAATTGAGCAGGAAGCATCTGAAACTGTGTTTCCTTTCACACAAAGAAAAAGTTTTAATTTATATTTACTTTACCCAACTTTCTGTATATGAAAGTAGCCAGAAAGCAGGGGAGAAAAGATAGTTATGAGAATTTTGATAGGAAACCATTAGGAAAATCTGTAATTCCTCATAAAACTCTGGAGTCTTTAAGTAAATAACATGAAACACCAACAGCTTTGGAACTGCCTGCTGAACAAGTGACAGCTTGATTGGTTTTATGCATGTGGAGCTCATTTGTCATCTAGAATACAAGAGAATGACATATTAGCTTCTAAAACAGCTATTGTTAACAGAAGAATATAATGAACAAATAAACTGCTTATCTGAGATGAAATAAGTATTTTTTAGAAATTATGAATTTAAGTTCTCCATTGTATAAACATGCAAGTGTATATACTCACCTAACATAGTTCCTGGGAAATAGTAGGAAGTAAATGTATGTTTATCTTAACCAGGCAAACTGAAAAATTAAAGGTCCTGTTCCTTTCAAATTATTTTTTTCTATTTTTGTTCTTTATTGCTCTTGAAGAGATCATTAAAATATGATTTTAAAAAGTAGCCCTTCCACTTCCAGCCAAAAGGAATTAATAGGATTTATCCATCCACTTGAAATATTAAATATCTTTTACAAATATAAAATTTATGATATAATATTGGTCAGTGGACATTAGTGGTCCATTAAGATTGAAAACAAGAGCTTAGCTCTACATTCCTACATTTGCTCTAGCAGACTGAGTGAAAAGATTTTCTATACTGCAGTTAACAGGACTCTAAAAGAGCCCTGTGGTCTTCCTGAGTTTAGGAGACAAAGCAGAGAGTCTGGGAAAGCCAAGGTGGCTGGAATATGCAGGGCAAGGTATCAGACAGGAGAGAACTATACAGAAAAAGAAATCGAGAGCTCTTCAGATGGATCACAAGTCTTCATGTGAATACTGATCAGGGCATACATGAAAGAAAAGTACTCAAGTCTGGGTAAAGACCCACCTGAAAGGGTTAGAGGGGACGGCAGCACATGGAGCACACATAAAGCTGGAATAGTTCCTGTCCCTAAGTTACAAAAATCTCAATACATGGAGCATCTAGCAGAATACTCAGAGGGTTGTTTGCCTGAGTAGTGAGAAAAAAATTAACCATAGAATAAACATTTCTCTTGTATTGCCTAATAAACCTTAACAGCAAGACAAGAAAATATCAAGCTGATTCCAAGTAGATCAACTTCATCCCAAAAGAAACCTCAAGAATACTTATAGAAATACAATACACATGTACAGCAACAAACAAGGTAAGACTAATAATATTAGGCATCCACATTAAAATTCCTAGCCATGCAAATAATAGTAAAATAAAACTCATAATGAGAAAATTCAAAATGACATAGAAATGACACAGAAAAGAGAATTAGTAGACAATGATATTTAAGTTTATAATTTCACTTTTAATTAAAGCTGTAATCTATATGTTCAATAAGCTAGAGAAAATATTGAGTGTAGAAAGTGAAGGTTTAGAAAATAGAGACCCAAACCAAGTTTCTAGAGATGATAATTAAAATATCTGATATGAAATTTATACTAGATGAGATTATAAATAGATGAGGCATTGCAGAAAAAAAGATTAGTAAATGTAAAGACATAATGATAGAAACTATGCAAATTGAAGTATATAGAGAAAAAAATGACTAAAAGCCATGAATGGAGCATTAATGAGCTGTGAATTAACTTCAAACATCCTAATTAATAAACACATAAGTAGAGTTCTAAAAAGAGAGGAAAAGAACCTGAAGAAGAAAAATGTCACCAGATGGAAATGGGGATCTATATAAATGAATGAGCATACCACAGATGGTAACTACACAGGTAAATATAAAAGATTAAAAATTTTAAATCTCTTTAAAAGGTAATTAGTTAATCAATTTTGACAAATGTACTATAGTAATATAAGGTGTTAGTAAGGGGAAACTTGGTCTAGGGTATATGGGGACTCTATCATCACAGTATTCTGTAAATCTAAATGTATTCCTAATTAAATGTTTATTTTAAAAAGATTACTCAGTGTTTGAAGCCAACATAATAACATTATGGTGCACCGGATATAACATAGGTAAAATCAAAAGGCATGACAACAATAGCACAGAGGGCAGGAAAGGAAAAGTAGTATACTCTTTGAAATTTTTTATATGTACTAGAAGAGAAGTAGCTTAATATCACTTGAAAGCAGACTGGGATAAATTAAACATGTACAGTAGAAATACCAAGATTTATAGCAAATAAGCCAACAAATAATATATATATAATATAATAGTCAGCCCAAAAGAAGGCATAAACAATATAAAAAAGAAAACAAAAACAGAACCAAGAGAACAATGATTGTAGCATGGCAGATTTAAACACAAGCATATCAATTACCACATCAAATGT